TATACATATATATTAATATAAATACATATATACATTTATATTCATTACATATACACATATATGTACATATACAATATAAATATACATATACACATATACAATATAAACATATATATATACATATACACATATATACATATAACTATATATCATAATATACATATTATATATTATCACATATATATATTATATATCTTAATATAATTATAATATATATATTATATTTTATATTACATATATATTATATATATTATTTTATATTATATTATAAATATATATACATATAAATGTATATATGTATATGTGTATGCATATACATACATATGTGTATATGTATATATACATGTGTTTATATACATATATATAAGTATATACATATATACATACATATGTATTACACACACAGACAGACATGTGTGCGTATAATATGCGTATATATATTAATGTATGTGTATATTAATGTATGTGTATATTTATGTATATGTATATATGTATTTGTATATATGTATGTGTACATATAAATTTATGTTATATACATGTATATGTACATGTATATACATGTATACACATATATATTTATATGTATATGCGTGTAAATATACACGTATATGTATATGTATGTATATAAAATATGATATGTATGTATAAATATATATGTATGTAAAAATATATATGTATATATACATATATATGTATATATACATATATATGTATATATACATATATATGTATATATATATGTATATATATGTATATATACATATCTATGTATATATACATATATATGTATATATACAAACATATGTATATATATACACATATATATATATACATACATAAATATATATACACATGTATATAAATATATATACACAAATATACATATATATACATTTATATATAAATATATATAAATAAATACATACATACATGTGTATGTGTGTATATATATATATATATATATATATATATATATATATATATATATATATATATATACACACACACACACACACATATCTATGCATACACAAACATATATATAAATTTACACACACATATAAGAGTGTGTGTGTGTGTGTGTGTGTGTGTGTGTGTGTGTGTGTGTGTGTGTGTGTGTGTGTGTGTGTGTGTGTGTGTGTGTGTGTGTGTGTGTGTGTGTGTGTGTGTGTGTGTGTGTGAGAGAGTAGCATCTCAGAAAGTGTAATACACTGTCTATGAAAACCTTATACCAGCTGAAGTAGCTTATTACTTACTGTTGTCACCAACAAAATATCTGGTTAATTAGTGTTATCAGGGCAGCAATCATGAATACAGCAGATCTGTAATGTTCAGTTCAAGGTGTTGCATAAGAAGCAACCAATGAAACAAGAGCCTGCAATAAAAAACCCATGCAAGCAAAGAATGAGTCTAAGTAAGACAGCAGCTGCACACAGTAAAGCACCTTATCAGTCAAAAGTGAGGGTCTCTATGCATATTTCTTATTAGTTTACACCAGGGCTTCATTTGAACAATCAACATAACAAGACAGCAATAACTTGGAAAAATAAAGCTATAAGGACTTTTTTCGCTTGTGTAAGTCTAATTTAGAAAGCTAATTATAAAGATGACACAACTTAAGAAATATAATAACTCAGGAATCTAGTCTTGTTAATTGGTAAAATACCTGGTGCATACTTATCTCTTCTACATATTTCAGACAAACCTGATATACACTGCTAGTAAGATACTATGCTTAGCAAATTCAGCAATCTCTACTTTTCAACTTCCCTTTAGGTTTTCTTCTGATCAATCTCTTGAACAAAAGTAACCAAAAAGCTGAGTAAAATAATACAGGGAAGCACAGTACCCTACAAGCAGATGGGGCTGACAAGAATTTACACAAAACCTGAAAACCTTACCATAAATTGATAGGCGTGTCCTCTTCTATGCTTTCCAATCTCAGCACCGCAAGCGAAACACTGTAAAAGAAGAACTTAGTTTTAGCCACATCCCATGCAGAATCCAATTTAAAATGTTACTATTAACTTACTTACATTATTTACACTTGCACAACTAGAATTTAATCCTCTCACAGAATAAATATAAATAAAGCATGAAAGCAAAATTCATCATCATAACACAATTTTTGCTTTACATAAAAGTGAATTGATAAACAATAACAAATTTCCAACAAGCAAAAAATACAGTATCTGTTTATGAAAGACCTGTGTTTCCACACCTAGCATACAATAACAGCCCATTAGTTTGGTCTCTGAACCTGTTGACACTCTGGGTAAGGGTAACACCTGCATATCCTGGGTAGATAAAAAGAGCTTGTACAACTCTCTGACTAGTCATCTTCAAGAAAGGAATCTATACAAGCTCTACACTGCTTAAGTATCCATGGTGGAGGTTACTGTCCTTTGCCAAAGCACAGTATGAAGGTTGTGGCAATGGTTTGACAATGCACCACTATCAGGATGTTCTTTTAACCCATTGCCGCCGGGGAAAATGAACAAAAAATGGGGAAAATACTGTACTCATTTTTTATATTTTTGTGAAATATCTCTACCCATAGATGGCTCTGCTAGTCCTGATTTCACCTTTCCTTAAATTGGCGGGAAAAAACGTATTCTTACTAGTGCTATAAATATAGATGGTGTTATTTTTAACAGCAAATTAGGATAACATTAAATATTTTCGTAAATCGATGAAAAGGGTGAACGGACGAGACAGGCAGTACTCGAATTGGCTCATTGGATACTTAGTACAAGTGTAGCCTTCTATGTGTAAAAACAATCGAACAAGTCGACTCACAGTGGGCATGGCATGTACGTACATGCCATCCCCGGCGGCAATGGGTTAAGATTACAGGATTCCATCACAGATAACAAACTTGTGTAAATCTGGTTGCAATCCTACTAAATAATTTCAACAAACTATTTGGCCTATTTTCAAAGCCAGTGCAAGTGTCCTCAAAGAACTCTGACTGTTATAGCATTTAGAAGCAAGCACCAAAATGGTCCTGAACTCTTATTACAAATATTTCTCTAACAGGAAAATACCACAGGGTCCAGGGGAGGAGCCTCCAATAGCAGATGAAGTCTGGTTTCTTGGTTTAAACATATTATTAAAAAAGGGGAGGAGGTCCACATCTGATCCTGCATTTCTGTAGATTTTACCACAATTTCTTTAGTAAGTTTTAATATTCTGACATTTGACATCACACGGCATCCATAAGTTTTCTACCATACTGAAAAAAGGGGAGGAGGTCCACATCTGATCCTGCATTTCTGTAGATTTTACCACAATTTCTTTAGTAAGTTTTAATATTCTGACATTTGACATCACACGGCATCCATAAGTTTTCTACCATACTGCGATATGACATCACCCCGTGTAAAAGCATTAAACAATTGATGCTGCCTCCACAAATAAAGCAGTCCAACAAACAAAACAAACTTGAAACTGCTTCCATATTTAACAATATCAGAAAGGTTTAAAAATCCTCTCTTGCAAGAACCTAAGTGATGAAGATTTGTTGGCTTTTCCAGGGTGTCAACAAGTGCAGAGGCCATAGTGATGGCCTAGTGTTGGCTTCCAGTAGTAATACAAAAATATCAGAACATTAAAGGCATAAATCACATTCATTAATCATGCAAATAATGTCCACAGTATCACTCTACCCACTAATGTCAAAGCTGATGCCCTTAAATTCTAACTCTATTTCACACTAACATCTAAACCTAACTTTAAGTCCTCTGTCCAAAGCCTATCTTAAAACCCTAAAAAGCCCCAAATCCTGCCCTAAATACCCAATATTGATTCATACCTCCAAAGCCAGATTCGAAAGACATGCCCCTAAGTGACGCCAATACAAAATCCAGACCCTGTAGCATATAAAAAAAAAAAATCTATAATAAACTGATTCTAAATGCATAATTGATGTTTAATCGAACCCACAATGCAAAGTTCATTTTACGTGACGTCCCACACCCACTTTAAATGCCCCGCCCATGGGTCATTCACAAAATACACTCTGATGACAAGACCCCCTCATCACGCCCAACGCCACACCTCAAAACCCCCCTCCCCACCCACGCAAACTTGTCACAGAGTACTAAAGCCCTCACCCAAAATCCCCACGGTCGTTGAGTGCCCCAAAACGTCACCCAGTGTCCCCAAGCCCCCCCCCCCAGAGTGCCCTAGGACGAGCGGTGCCCCAAAGCGTCGCCCAGTGTCCCCAAGCCCCCCCCCCAGAGTGCCCTAGGACGAGCGGTGCCCCAAAGCGTCGCCCTGTGTCCCCAAGCCCCCCACCCCCAGAGTGCCCTAGGACGAGCGGTGCCCCAAAGCGTCGCCCAGTGCCCCCAAGCCCCACCCCCAGAGTGCCCCAGGACGAGCGGTGCCCCAAAACGTGTCCCAGTGTCCCCAAGCCCCCCCAAGAGTGCCCCAGGCCGAGCGGTGCCCCAAGTGCTATTCAAAGGGGCCGCCTCTCCGCCGCCGCGTCACGTGACCCTACCTGTAAACAAAGATCGAAGTCGTCGCACTCCAAGCACCGCACCCTCAGTCCGTTCACATCCTCCTCGCAGTAGTTGCAGTGGTACTTGGCAAAGGTATCTGCAAGAGACAACGAGCGTTTAGCAGGGATCGGAGCGGGGGAAGGCGGCTGGGATGCCCTGAAATACCCACTGACTCGCACCCCCGCGGAAGGAGGAACGTCTCTCACCCGCCATGTTGCCTCCGAGCACGCTGATGACGTCACGCGAAGTGCCAAAAGACGAATATACCATTTATTTTGGCATCTCAACGACCTCCTCCTCTGCCCAGCCGCTCCGCCGTATGTTTATGCACATGATAGTATGCTGTTTAGGATAGGAATGGATCTGTGCTAGGGGAATCTGGGTAAAAAATGCAAGAAATGTCCTTACTGTACGAAAGCTGACTGACGCTGCTCCAACCGCTATGCCAGACGTACGAGGTTGGGCTGGGTCATTTGGCAGCTGCATTCACCCATTTAC